CGACATTATCTTTCTTTTTTTTGAAATAAGGGCTTTCAATTATCGACATTATCTCTTCACTTTATAGAGTTTAGACTATTTACATAGTATTTTTTTTTTGTAAAGTAACTGCAATCTGCAAAGTACAAACCCTCGCTGCATGGTAAACAAACCTTACTGCATTTACACTTCAATTATTAAATTAACTATGAATTGTATTTCACCTTTAATATATGAAAAATTTCAAAAAATGCCACTTTTCAAGTGCCACTTTACAAAAATGCCACATTTTTGAAATCTTTACAAAATTATTTTTTTTTATATTATTTATGTTTGGGTCAATTATGTTCTATTAGAATTTAGTTTTGAGTGTTTAGGAGGTTTTAGGTGTCAAAACATTTTTTAGGGTTTAGAATTTTAAGATATATGCTTTATAAATCTATAATTAGTGACATTTTTTTAAATGGACACTCCTAAATGGTATTCTTGTAAATGTGCACACAAAAAATATTTTTTTTGTAATTACCCTTTAATATATACATTGTTGCATTGGAAAATAAATATTAAAATCGTTTATCAATCATCCACTATCCACACCTCGAGTTCCTATCATTCCTACATATCACATTTTCGGCATGTGGCATGAAAAAACCTAATGATATATTCACTTTCTTTTTTTTGACACAATGATATATTCATTTATCATATCAATTTAGTCGAATTTATTCATGTATCATATATATATACTAAAAATGAAATAATAATCTTCAGAAATTCATTATAAATAAAAAGTGGGTCCAAGTGCATGTTATGGATGCATCCCTCCATGCGTTACGTTCTCACCCCACTTGTTGCGTTTTAAGGATTTTCTCATTTAATTTTATCTTCCTAAGCAAATCTTCATTAATGCTTCTGCATGTATTATTATTGGTTTTTTTTTGGTTTAATATTGGCTATTTACTTATTATGATCCCACTTAAGTATACGTATTTGTCTCCATAAATATAATTACAAGAGAGTCGATCATATGCTATGAATCTGCACGTACAATTTGAAGAAATAAATATATAAATGTTGAGTTTTTATTTAGTATATAAATGTTGAGTTTTTATTTAGCAAAATAAAACAAATGTTGAGTTTTATATGGGATCAAACAAGAAGTTATAGTCGCTTAGTTTTTTTCTTTTTTTTTGCTAAGACACATATCTCATCAGATAATATCTTTGTGTAATGTCATTTGTTGAAGCAACAATACCCCTATATAAATCTTTAGTTAGCCAAAATTAGGAAAAATAAGACCCATCTAAGCGCGTAATGCGATTCGAACTTGTGTACATCAATCTTATTATATAAAAGAGAATGCCTACGATAAGAACGCGATACGTAAG